TTGGACATTGTTGGATGACATTAAACTCTTCACAATTATGGAAGACTTTTGCAAAACAGCGCAGCATGACTTGTGCATTCTTCTTCTTCTGTATTCACCCAGTTTTCATTAGTAAAACTGGGTGGAAACAATACTCTGCAGAACTGATCCAAAGTGTTAAGGGATGTGACATGCTGATGTCCTGTGCTTATAAACACTGCCGCACCATAGAACATTTATTTTCTATGTTTTAAAAAGCTCTCTCCGAGTTACAAAGTGATTCACTACATCTCCAGTTGTTTCACTACAGAGGAGAATGGGGGGGAGAGCATTGATCCAGGTCCTTGAAGTAAGGGGTGTACATTTGTTTGCTGCCGTTCTCACAAACGTTCAAGCAACCACTTTGCATTTAAAAATCCCCAGACGATCTGTAGGCACTGGGATCTCGGTCTGGTTTTGCAAGACTACTCCGGTATTTGCAACACAAGCTGACATGCAGTTCTATATAAAACTGCAGTTGCGGAGGTGTTTAAATTGCAGCAATTACTTTTTGCCTGTAGGAGGCAATACCGACATGTCTACATTTGCAATTCTAAGAAATACGGCAAAGAAGCTATAATTCTTACCCAAGGTGAGGATCAGTCTCCCCATAATCGTCCAGGTAAGGAGCAGGGTATGTGCTTCCTCGAGTCCTACTGGCCATCAGTACGATTTCACACTCTCTTATCCTGTCAACATGAAATTAAACTTCATTTATATAGCACAAGAAAATACCATCCAAAGTAAAAAAAAAAAATAAAAAAAAACAGTTTTAAAGCTGTAATATAATTATCTTGGTCCTCTAAGACCTAGAATTGACTCACCTGAGGAACATGCCCACTCCAGCACCACAGGTTGCAGCGTGGGCGGTGCAAGCTCCAACATCGTCCCCATCCAGCTGGCTAAGACAGCAGGAGCTCTGAGAGCACAGCATGGCCCCACAAAACAAGCACAGGGTCGGATGCTTCCTCTCGTCATCTGTGGACTTGGGACACCTGAGGACAACAGAGGAGACAAGTGGGTTGAATATCTCTAGCAGATTTTTGACTAAAAGGTGGTGATTGAAAGGACTTTAATTGCCCACTTACTGAAAATGGCTGGCTTGATTGAGGAGAGCACTGTAATCCTCAGGAAGATCAATCAACCGATTCCTTTTCCTGGGGTATCTGGAGAAGGTTTATCAATCAATTATTAGGAGATGTTTAATTACAAAATAGAAACAGGACTGAAGAAATATAAAAGCCAAATACCTGACTGTCTGGATTTTGCCTTTCAGGGCTTTGGTTACAGCTGGGCTCCCACACCACCTAAGGAAGAAGAAAAAAAAAAAACATGGTCATAGAACTGCTGACCGCTCCAGCGAATACAGAAAGATCATGTTGGTGTTGGTCACCTACCTCTGCAGCAGTGGAGTAACAGGGTCTCTGTGCTCCTGGAAGAGCTGGAACACATTGGAGGGTAGTGACAAGTAGCTGCACAGTGCCTCCATCTGTCCTTGAGTGGTAACTGCAAAGACCCAGAATGTCATCGCATGCATCACAAAATTCAACATCACATGCAGTGCGGTAGTTTGTTCGATTCAGTTTGACCTACCAGCAGCACTAAAGAGCTCCTCTGGAGGATGTACTCCTGTAAGGCAATTGAAAAAGAGAGCAGCACAGCGCAGGAAAGGTTCAAGTCCTCTCTTCACTCTTTCTGCCACAGAGCTGCCGGACACATCTGGAATCAGCCTGATGAGCAAACCACAGAACAACCTGTCAAACAAGCTGAAAAAGGCTCTACATTATATATCTCTGAGCATGCAGGGTGGAAAGAGCCTTGACAACAGGGAACAATGAGCAATGTTTGCCTCTACTGCAAGGGCATTTGTTTCCATTACAAACAGGCGAGGTTGGCTCCTGTCAAGCTTGATTATGAAGCAGGCTAATAAAAAAAAATTATGTCCAGCTCTGTCTGCTACATCAAAGATGCCAACACTCAGTGAAAATGTCTGCAGTATGTGTTCATGGAGGAAGATTGGTGGTGAATTTTCGTAGTTAACAAAAAGATGTGTGGCTTTAACCCCAGAAGGACAGCCCTCAGAAAGTTTTCATTTTTGTCTTTTGTTTCAAAAGCTGCGATTTATTTTTTCCGAGCTTTCACACAGGCCTTTCGTAGTAAAGATAAATTCTTTGAATATATTTATATATCGAAACACAACTTAGGAGGCAATAATTTTGGTTTACATTTGTATTGTCTTTTAAATTCCACAAGGCATAACACGTTTTAGCGGTGTTAATATTGTGTTCGTGAGTTTTGAAGAACTGCAAACGATTACAAAGCCAGAAAATCTACTCCCTAACTTGATGTCTTAGCTTGTAATGGCTGTTGCCTGATAAATAATAGGATGATAAAGAACACTTGTACCTTCCAGTGTGCT